TATATATGTATATATAAACAGCTATAGAATAATAGAATACAGAAAACATGTAAAAATTTAAAATTTTTACACCACATGTTTAGAGCTATAAAATGCATTCAAAAAAAGTAGAATATGGTTTTTCTGAAAAAGTTTTTCAAAAACGTAATAGATGCAAAGATTGCATTTTTAAAAACATGTCCCATATGTCTGAAACTAGATTTTTTTTTTCAAATATTTTTCTTTTAACCATCTTGGACATTCACATTTGACATTGAACCGGAGTCAATTTACATGCCAAAGCATTATAATAGCCGCACCAACTTCATAAGCAAGGTTACATTTTGATCTTAAACAGAGTCGATCCTATGTTTACTTCTCAAGTCGATTTCAAGCCATCGTATTTTAAAATAAAACTTAATTTTCTACTCTTAATGAATTACAATATGCACAGCTTACAAAGACTGCATGCAAGGCATTGCGTTAACATATGAGCTTATGCATGCATTAACCTGGCATTTTATAACACGAATACTTATTAAGTTAAGCACTATCAAGTTGTCACAATAGATAAAGACGTCAATAATAAATACATCAACTTTCCTAAACAGAAACTCTGAAGATGCGACGTTCATTACGCTCCGCGTCCTAATTACTGAAGCGCACTAATAAAGTCAAAACGCGAGAGATGGATAAACAAAATCAACATTAAAGTTCTAAAACACACGAGCTGTTGATTTGATCAAGTCTGAGGTGAATCACACACCGGCACTTTACAGAACGAGCCGCGCGCGCCTCACCGTTCCGTATTTCTATTAGAATAAAACACATCAGGCTGATAAAAAGTTAAAGTCCACAACTCGGAACGGCATTAAAAGTTTCCGTTTCCAACAAAGCTCGTGAAAGAAGCGTTAACATAGCCTTAAACGTGCTGTTAATGCGCGGCAGTGCGCGCGAGGCTGCAGCCGCTGCTCTTGCGCGCGCCTGATCAATGATTGAACCGAAACAAAAGGCAGAAGAGGATCAATTACTAATAACTATCAATGCAACACCACCATCCCGACCCTCTAAAGTCCCCAAAAGAGAAAATGCATGAAATGCAAGGTGCATTATCGCGTATAGGGTCGCGTCGTGTAAAAAAGGTGAGAAATAAGACCAACCTGAAGCCGCCGGAGATCAAATTTCTTCCAATATTGAAACATCGATCCCACATCGGCGGCCATCTTGAGCACAATATTCAAGAGCGGCTACAATAAATATATGGGCTGGATTCCCCCCGTTAAACAGCGTTGACGATTACACTCCACATGGAAAAAAAAATGTTAGGAAAATAACAGTTGTGGAGAACTAGACGGGACGCGCAGCGCGCCAGAGCCGGTGGATGCGATATGAACAGAATATAGATGCATATAGATGCATTAGTGCTGCTCCAGGGATTGCACTTGATTTTGGGTTTGGTAAAGTTATCAATACTGACGTAACGGGTTGATCAATAACGTCTGGGAAGTGGAAGGAGAACAACGAGCGACCAATGCGCATCGCCAGATGTTTGATGCGTAAAGCGGCGAAATCGTTACATATCATTAATGAGCCCCGCATAATGAGATTCGCAACTTTAGGTCAATAATGCGTAATGCATGCCATAAATGCACTGAAAGAGTCGCGCGAATAGAATAAACACTGAATGGTTGAAAGCTTTTGTGTTTGAAGTGAAAAGAGTGAATTTGGATTTTGATAGTGTCCTTGAGTAATGAAGTGCACGAAGATAAGCGTGATAAAATAATGCTTACGCCTATTAAAACTGTTATTGGGCTTTTTTATAATACTTAGATGTGAACGGTAACATCATAAACAAAACAAAAGTTAAACGTGCTAAATATTAGTGAAGAGATGCACGAAAAGTGCAAGTTTAGTCTATGCGCTTAGTTACGTGAGATAAAGAGATGTGTGGAATTTCAATAAACACCAGGAATATTTCAGTTAACGTTATTTATCTAGAACACTCGAGAGGTTGTTAACGCGAGCCAATGCAAAAGGTGTGTTTTTATATTGCACAAGCTCTTTTGCTCTATGTCTGAAGACGGATGAATAATAAACTCATTGCATTCTAAGAAAAAAAATGCATAAATGTTATAATGGGATTGTGCGATCAATGCATGGTTTGAAATACTGAATGGACAGTTGTGTTCAAACGTTAACACGTGCTCCCTCTTGTGGAACAGGACGTTTCTACTGGACTGAGCTGAGGAGCCTTTACAATGAGGACTGTTCTGAGATGAGTTGCTTTAAATATAGCACATATTGTCCAAATTACATCTTTATCATTATAATAACAACACAAAGATGACCACACAGAGCCGAGATTAGCCTTAAAATAACACATCACACCACACTGTGACCACATTGTGCATAATGACTAGCTGCAATCCTTTTTAGAAAAGCATAGAAAATTGACATTTTAACAGAGGCAAAACCTATTGGTAAACTTTATTCAAGTAATTACAAAAAGTCTATGGATTTATTTTCATCTTTAGGAAAAGCGGCTCGATTTATGTATCCAAAATGCACCGGATTACAGATATCAGTATAATAATGTCTGGAAATGAAAGCGTTTAGGAGGTTAACTGCTCCGCTGGCTTGTGGACTGCGAGCAATTACTAAGTGAGCACATCTGTCATTCTCCCCTTCGCTATTAAAACCAAACGCAAGTCTATTTTTAAGTAGAAATGTATTTGCACTTTGTAAGCCACCTACGGGGAATATAAAAGGTGCTTATTAAAAGTTTCTGTTTTATTGCTTTTTATTTATTGCTTCGGGGGGGGGGGCATCGGGCTTATAAGAAAAGAATAATATACCTTGTTTTGATATGGCTCACTGTTAAATTTGAAATTTAAATCAGTTCTGATATACAAGCCTGATGCAGCAACACTTATTACTTTTGTTCAAATCTAAATATGTGGATATTTTGAGGGTTCAGAAACCAGTGGGAGATTTTTCGAACCTCTGTGGGCGAACCTCTGAGATTGTTTCTAAGGGTTATGTTAAAAAATTTAAATCATATAATATCTGAGACTTAAAAACAGCAATACTAATCATGTGGAATGAAAACTAAACCCAAAAAGAGATGATGCAGCCATTAGAACTCATCAGATGAGTGCGTTTGTGTGTTTGGATTGACGGCGTGTACACAGTGGCCTAGATACACATGAATGTTTGACTAAACTTGGCAATATCATTCCCGGAATATTGACGAGGGCTGCTGAACTCTGATATATTGATCGACTCCGGAGTGCAAAAGGCCTTGAAACGGAAGCTTGTTGAGACTGCCATCAGGTGGCTGGAAAGGTTTAGCATGAGAATTTGCATCCCATGACCGAAACAGGTGAGCATTATTGTGCCAAGTACTCTTTCAGAAACCTAGAAAACCTTTACATAAGGGATTCTTCTAGTTTGGCTTCACTAAAGCAATGCTGTTTGAGTTGTAACTGACCACATGATCATCTTTGGAAGGGTAAGCTGTCTTTCCTGATGTCAACTTGGCTTATCCATCATGACAAATTGCCACTAAAGGTGTGGTAATATAACGTCTCAGGTTACTTATGTAACCATGGTTCCCTGAGTAGGGAACAAGACACTGCGTCCTCTAGGGGTCGCTATGGGGAACGCCTCGTCGTGACCCGTGTCTGAAGCATACATTGAAAAAACACCAACTCGTTGGCCGGCAACAGCCATGACGTCACTACCGGTGCGACTATAGTATAAATAGGCTAACCGGGAGCTACACATCATTCACTTCTTCGTCTGAAGCTTGCGTCCGCAGCATGGCAAGAAACCTAGAGGAAGAGAGCTCAACCTACAGCATGTTCCTATGGTGGAACAACTAGCAGTTATTCAGCTGAGGGAGCAACACACTCGTCAGTGAAGACGAAGAAGAGAATGATGTGTAGCTCCCGGCGCCTATTTATACTATAGTCGCACCGGTAGTGACGTCATGGCTGTCGCCGGCCAACGAGTTGGTGTTTTTTCAATGTATGCTTCAGACACGGGTCACGACGAGGCGTTCCCCATACCGACCCTTAGAGGACGCAGTTCGAAGTTCCCATGAAAGGGAACCTAATTTTAGTGCATACTGCAGGGTTTGAGTATGAGAGGTCAAGCAGAGGTCATCCTGATAACATCGAATGTTAGTTAAAGTGATTCTCTGCACCAGGGTTATTTTAGTTAAAACTAAAACCATAAAATTGTTGTTACTTGAAATGAAGTTACTTGCTAATTGTCAAGGCAACAATTCTCATTTTCATTTAGTTAACTTGCTGGACTAAAATAACTAAAACTGAAATAATAAATAATTTTTAAAAAACTATATAGACATTAAAAAACATTGATACATGACAAAAACTCCAGGGTATTTAAATTTTATTAATTAAGCGCATGCATAAAAAATTGTTACTTGAAATAAAATTAATAAAGATACTTGCTAGTTTTCAAGGCAAAAATTCTAATTTTCATTTAGTTTAAATTGCACTAAAATAACTCAAACTGAAATAAAAACTATATAGACATATTTTTAAACAAATAAATACATACATGCATAAATAAATAAACCCAAATAAAAATAATAAAACACCAGGGTTATTGTAGTTAACGAAAACTGAAACCCTAAAAACTTTAAACACAATAAATGTTAACTGAAATAAAATAAAATATATTTATTTATTTCTCATTTATTTATTATTTTATTTATTAATTATTTATAACATTCATTTATTTTTCATTTAGTTGAACAATATACTAAAATAACTCAAACTAAACTGAAATAAAACTATATATATAAAATATATATATATATATATAAAAAAAAGAAAAATATAAAAACAAATTGAAAATATAAAAACTGTAATAATATATCAATTATAAAATAACACTGAGGGTTCCTCTGCTAGGATACCTGTGTGTACTCGAGGAGAACCGACAGGGAGAGCAAACATCACATAAAAACATTGAGACTTCAAAAATGATGAATAAAAGTGAAGCTAGTGACACTTACATGTCTAAATATCCAAAAATACTAAATAGTATGAAATTAACCTACAAAGACGTATTAATAGACATAAATGCCACTGTCAATCATACATTCTAAGCTATAGGAAAGTTCTAGCTATATTCCAACAACTGTCATTTGTCCTGAGTTGAAGCCCACTGGCTCCTGTACTAAACCCCTTTAATCAGGATTCTTATAATAACTTATGAAGTCGACAATTGGCTACCTGGTTAAGCGCATGAGGATGTATTTATAGACAGTCAGAGGTGGAGAATGGGGTGATATATATAAAATCAGCATTTCCACACTTGTCTGAAATCACTCGTGCTTTGTCTCCTGAGTTCAAGGGTTACGGTCATGGTGAGTTTGCTTTGATATACATTTATGCATTCATAGAATATCAGCAGACATTTAACTCCGTATTCTCTTGATGCATCCAAACAAAGATCTAGAAAATGAGCTAGCCAGAGTTGATTTCTGTCTGTCTGTGTTTAAAGTCTGATTCATCAGGGCCACTTACATCTGTCTGACTCATCCAGCGCCTCTGATGTTTTAGTTCACTTTCAACAAATAAATACATGAAAAGTCAAATGTTTCTGTTCTCAAAGATAGATACAAACGTTTTCATTACTCAGAAATAGAAAAAGGTGACATGTGACTCATTATAGTTTTAGTAACGTTTCAACTGTTTCTCCTAGATAGTAAAGAGAGCAAATGGAGACTTTTTACTCAAAATGTTTTTATTTTTAAATAAGAAAATGACCCAAGTAACCACAAGTTTCAGAAAAATATATATTTCAGCTGTTATCAGGTTGTGCTTAAAAAGAAATGTTATTAGCACAATCTAGTTTCAACTGTTTCACCTAGACAGTATCGAGAGCAAATGGAGACTTTTAACTCAAAATGTGTGTTTTTTTATTGCTGTTGTTGTTTTTTATATGAAAAAAGACCCGAGTAACCTCAAGTCTCAGAAAAAAAAATATTTAAACTGTTTTCAGGTTGTGCCAATTATATTTATATATATATATATATATATATATGCATACACACACACACACACACACACACACACATACATATATGTCTGTGTGTGTGTGTGTGTGTGCATGTTTATGTGGTTTATGAGGACACAAATTTGTATAATAACATGGGTATGACATAGGTATTACAACGAGAAGGTGATTTATGAGGATATTTTCAGTGTCCCCGTAATTCAAAAGGCTTATAAATAATTCAGAATGAGTTTTTTTTTAAGTCTAAAAGTGCAGAAAGTCTCCTGTGAGGGGTAGGTTTAGGGGTAGGGTTGGTGTAGGGCAATAGATTATACGGTTTGTACAGTAGAAAAACCATTACGCCTATGGAGAGTCCCGTAAACCATAAAAACAAACCTGTGTGTGTGTGTGTGTACCTGCTTAACCATATTTTGTGGACAAATTTGTACCCAAAAGTGAGCTAAACCTGACAAAATCCCCAACAACCTCCCTTTGGGGACGTCCTCATTTGTAAAACTGGTATAAAAATAAAGTAAACAGAGTTTTTTTAAATTGTAAAAATGCAGAAAGTTTCCTGTAAGGGGTAGGTTTAGGGGTAGGGCTGGTGTAGGGCGATATAATTATACAGTTTGTACAGTAGAAAAACCATTACGCCTATGGAATGTCCCCATTTAGATAGCTAAACTTCTGACAGAACAGAGAGGGAGAGTCTGTGTGTGTGTGTGTGTGTGTGTGTGTGTGTGTGTGTAAAAAAGTTGGCCTAGGAACAATTTTCACTTAGAAATTGCTAATAAGTTTCACAGTTAAAAGATTTTTGATCAAAATCCAATTCAAATGAGCTGAGCTACTATCCACGTTATTAATTTTATAGTTCTATTACTGCACGCCGACCATTTTTTATTTCTCTTCAGGGATTTTTGAGAATAGTTGAAGTTGATTCATAAATAAGAACTCTCTTGAGTTATGAACCTTTGAGCAATAACATTTTCCTCTGGGTTTATTTATGCTGTTTATCAAAAAAAAATCCCTTGAAAGTACTCAGCATATTTCGTGCTTCAGCTCTGGTCTCGGCGACAGCACAACTGTCGAGATGTAATCCAGACAGAAGGCCGATGAGCAGCTGTCGGGCTGCGATGTCATCGAGCAGAAACGCATCTCGCAATGTTTTCCAAATTCTGTGGCAGGAATGTAAATAGTAGCGATTAATCCCTGTCTTGGTGGGATTACCTATCAACAGGCTCAGAGACGAGGCTGTCAGCAGCCAGCGCCAGTGTGTAATCCCACATCTGATCCACCGGCTGAGTTCTCGCTCTCCGAGCTAATTATACATCCTGCAGGGCACCAAACATTTCCACTCTCATACACTCATCACGTTACTGCTCATTCATTGCTCGGGAGGAGTTTTAACTCTGATGATTCACCTAAAACTCCTTAAGAGAAATGCAAAGACACAAATGAGACAACCATTGACAGAAAGAGCTCAAATGAACGAGAACAGCAGCTCAGGAAGAATTTGATGAGAAATATTTGAGTTAGTAGCACACTTTGAGACAATGTTAGGAGGAGACGTGTGAGATTTATGGGGCTTTTTAGCAAGAGACTTCAGTAAAAGTCTCCATTTAAACAGACTGCTGTCTAGGAGAAACAACTGTGATATTAGGTCAAGGTCAAACTTGTGATATTAAAGTCAACTTGAACTGGCATTTGCAACCTAATTTTCTGGCGTAAAAAAGTTTGGAGTCTGTAAAAGCTGTTGAAAGGAGTCTCTTCATGCTCACCAAGGATGCATTTGTTTCATTAAATATACAGCAAAAACACTAATATTGTGACATATTATTTAAATTTAAAATAACTGTTTTCTATATGAATATATTTAAAAATTTAATTTATTTCTGTGATGCGCAGCTGTATTTTCAGCATCATTACTCCAGTCTTCAGTGTCACATGATCCTTCAGAAATCATTCTAATATGCTGAAACATTTATGATTATTATCAATGTTGAAAACAATGTTGTCAATGGAAACCACAATTTTATTTTTAGGATTCTTTGATGAATAGAAAGTTGAAAAGAACAGCATTTATATGAAATAGCAATCATATGTAACATTATAAATGTCTTTACTGTCACTTTTGATCAATTTAATGCGTCCTAGCTGAATAAAATATACATTTCTTTAAAAAAAAAAACGGGGAAAAAACACACTGACCCCAAACGTTTGAACAGCAGTGTATTTTCTAGTACAACAGGTAAAATAAGAGGTAAAATTCATATTGTCAGCCAAAAAGGAAAGACATCCCAGAGGGTTTTTGAAACATGTTATTTCTCTTTTTGAAGAAAGATTCCAGAATAAAGTGCACCAATGAAACAGCATACCAAAGTGTATTTCTATTTAGCTATTCTGTGTAACTTGTTTTTGCAGGCACCCAAAAAGGCAAAGAAGCGGGCAGAAGGAGCCAATTCAAATGTCTTCTCCATGTTTGAACAAACTCAGATCCAAGAGTTCAAAGAGGTACAAACCAAGTGCTCGTTTGACTCTAATTGCTCTGACAATTGTCTTTATCGTGACACTTTCACTGTGATATCGAGCATCTACAGCGAGATTCCCGTATGTGACTTCAATATGTCAGTTTTCATCATCGCAAGGGAATCATTCAGAATGTGTCAGTAACGATTAGCACAGTGGAGTGATTTACACCCTGAACACACACTCGCTCACACACACTCCAACTGCTGTCAGGGCCCTGAGATTTGCGTGGAAATGCAGCAGGACAGACGTTCTCTCTGGTCTCAAAGCGGCTGTGAAAAGATCACGGCAAACAGGATAAGCATGACGCTGATCCGAGATGGCAGTGATGAGAACGTGCAGACAAATGTCTCTCTCTCTTTCAGTCTGTCTCTCTCACACATATCACAAACAAACACAAAGACTTTCAGGAAAGCAGAATTACAGGAACTATAAATATACAAATGAGAGAGTTTGGCAAAACAAGATATATTAAAAAAGCAGCACGACAGGGAGGTTCTAATTCACCTAAAAATGAATTTGTGATTATTTTCTCACCCTCATGTCATTACTTATTTTATTTTTTATGTTATTTTTCTGTGGAACACAAATTGTTAAAGGGGTCATATGATGCGATTTCAAGTTTTGCTTTCTCTTTGGAGTGTTACAAGCTGATTGTGTCACGCTCCAAAAAACATTAATTATTCTTAAAATATCATAACAGTAGACCATATGACTTGAGAATTATATTCCAAGTCTTCTGAAGTCAAACGATAGCTTTGTGTGAGGAACAAACCATTATTTACAGATAATCTGTCCCTGCTACCAAAACTCATTCAGTTTCAAAGATGTCAAAGCAGGGTTATTATTGGTAACTAAAACCGTTAAAAAAATTATTGGTTTAAAATAAAACTTCAATAAAATATTCATATTTATATTTTATTCATTTTTATTTCACATCACAGCACATCAAGTTAAACTAAATGAAAATGAGATGTTGGCTTGGCAAATAACTAATAAAATAAGTTCAAGATTTTTTAAGATTTTATTTTACTTCAGCTAGTTGCTAAATAAACAAGTTTCATTTAGGTGTAAACTAAACTAATGTACTAAAAATAACTAAATAATAAAAAAGGAAAGAAAAATAAATAAAAACTATATATGGACATATTAAAAATTATAAATATATACTTTACTTACAGTAAAAGTAGTGAAAACAAGCTAATTTGAGAGTGCATACTAAAGTGCATACAAAATAGTTTTAATTCTATGCAATACATGATGAACATGATGTTTTCAAACATCCATCAACCACAAAAGTTAAATTATAAGTTGGTCAAAGTGCATATTTCACCTAAAGGCAAATAGATGCAGAAGGCACACATGCCGCTTTCCAAAAAGATCACTCAAATTATATACATCAACATCATAAAAGGCTATAGCAACACAATATATGTCAACTACTGATTCAACAATGAGCAAGTACGGTGGACTAATTTTTAATCATTTTTTGCAATTCCATTCTGTGCAACTAGAGGTGCTTTATCTTTGACAAACACCATCAGACTACATTCTGCATCCCTCTCACACATACTCTATATTCTTTCTCTTTCATCTGCCTCAGGCGTTCACAATCATGGACCAGAACAGAGACGGCTTTATCGACAAGAATGACCTGAGGGATACGTTCGCCGCTTTAGGTGGACTGTAATAATCTCTGCTATACGTCACTGTCGTTCTGTATTGGTGGATGAAGCGTCTCTCTGACAGCAGTTTTGACCTCTGCCTCCGCAGGCCGCCTGAACGTCAAACAAGAGGAGCTCGATGAGATGCTAAAGGAGGCTCCAGGACCCATTAACTTCACTGTCTTCCTCACCATGTTTGGGGAGAAGCTTAAAGGTAAATGGTGGGGTGAAGTAGCACTACGAATCCAAAAATCCTGTAGGAATTGAAATGTATCCAGCAGGATTATAAAAGCAAGTATCTTAATGTTGCCTTGACAAACCACTAACTTAAGAGCAACATTTCTGATTGTAACTTCCTGAGCATTCAAGCTAAATTCAAAAAAAAGTATTTTTTTTTTTTTTTTTTACTATTCTAATATTTTTTCAACTATTTCATACACTACCAATTCAAAGTTTTGGTCAGTGAAATGTTTGTTTGAAAAATGAACACTTTTATTCAGCAACGGTGCATTGAATTGCTCAAATGCGAGAGTAAAGACATTTATAATGTTGTAAATCATTTCGATTTCAAATAAATGCTGTTCTTTCGAGCTTTCTATTCATCAAAGGATCCTGAAAAATAAAATGCATCACAGTTTCCACAAAAAATGAAGCAGCACAACTGTTTTCAACGTTGATAATAATCAGAAATGTTTTTTTTGAGCAGCAAATCAGCATATTATAAATGATTTCTGAAGAATCATGTGATACTGAAAATTCAGCTGCGCATCACAGGAATAAATTACATTTTACAATAAATTCACATAGAAGACAGTTATTTAATTTTAATACCATTTCAAAATTTTTACTGTATTTTTAAAAACATAAATGCAGTCTTGGTGAGCGAAAGAGGTTCTTTCAAAAACATAAAAACAGATTTTTATTCTTAAAATCTTATTGTATTTCATTTAAACAAAACTAGGTGTTTTGGAATAAAGTCCTATGAGTGAACAAGAAATCACACAGGGATTTCCTTTCCTTTAGAAGTCTAACAGAAGCAATTTGATACTATTGGGAATCATAATAGGCCTTCAGGGAATTATATGTTCTGGAAGCTCTTGTATGATGATTCCCATAAGATCGGCCCCAAACTGTGATAGAAATTCCACTAGGAATCCTGTACAAAGAATGTCTTATTGCATTCTTGGAGGATTTTAAACACAGTCAGCACTCTAATCAGTTTTCTATTGTGCTCTTTCAAAAAAAAAAAAACAGGTGCCGATGCAGAGGAGACCATTCTGAATGCCTTTAAAGTGTTCGACCCAGAGGGAAAGGGGACCTTGAGGAAGGATTTGTGAGTACCATTAAAACAACACAGTCTGCCCTGCTTCTCTGTAAATCGGAAAGCATATTTACACTGTTTGAATCGTTCCCTGTTCCCTATATAGTGCACTACGTGCCATTCACTAATAAAATAGCTTCACTGCTGAAGATCTGAAACGCGTCAAAAACGGAGGTAATTCATACATACACAGTCTCTCTCTCTCGTAAATGAACACTTGATGAATTACACTTTTCTGAGAATAGAATATCGAAGAGGAGATCGCTAAACTGTAAGCTTACCGGTGTTTTCAGGAAGCCAGCGCTTTTATCCACAGCGGAGAGAGAGTGCAATGTCACTTATTTTTGTCAACCTGGCAACCATGGTGCACATATTTAGCAGATCTTTGTGTGAAGCTCTGTGTCGAGGATTACGTCTTTTTATATCAGGCAACCCCGGTTGTTTTCCTCTGCTACCAGATTAAACCTTGTTGGAGCCTATATATTATATTATATTCATTATTTTTAAGAAACCTGGCACTTTTCCCACTCCGTTTTAATCGCTGTTTTTGTATTCAAATTAACCAGTTTATTCCCAAAATTTTACCAGACATGAAAATATCCAAATGATATGTCATTAGTAACCCTTTGAAATGATCAATAATTATTTTTTATATATTATATATTTTATGTATTATATGAATTTTGGGGGGGGGGGGGGGTTGGTTTTGGGGGGT